CCGTGGTTTTCCTTTCAATCACTTACATTCTTATACTTGTTTTTCTTATCACTTACTCTCCTATGATTTTTTTCCATCTATGTTCATAATTAACATAGTTTAAAAATTGGGTAATTCTATCTATTTTTCCCTTCTTACAAAAATAGTTCAAATACCTTATGTATTATTTTTTTCTCCAAATTTTGCAAGGATTTCTAAGAATACAACTAAATTTCTTCAGTTTCAAACAAAATTTGTGAATTGCTTATAATAAGCTAACAAAATTTTTTCTTTTGCATAAGAAAGTTATTGGGTAGTAATTCCATTACAAACTAACTTAGTTGAGTCCTATTTTCTCTATTCATACGTAGGAAGTTACTGCTTGCCTTGAGGAAATAAAAAAATCATTTGTTTACCAAAAAAATAAAATAAAATCAATTGAGACAAATATGTTCATTTGAAAATAATAAATTAAATATGTTCGAAAAATTTTAACCTCAAATAAAATTTATTACATCATTATTATTTGTTTGTCAAATTGAAATAACACTGCGAAAATATCTATTTTCTTCTAATAAAAAAGGTAAAATAAATAAATTAACTAAGCTTCTAACAGTGTTAAGAAATGATTTAGATAAAAAAGATCATAAGGAATTAAGTGATTAAAACAAAATAAGGAATAAGTGATTCAAACGAAAATTATAGGAGGTTTTTGAATTTTTTCTTAATTTTTATCTTGTAAAATATATAATATTATTATTTTATGTTAATTTAAAATTTTACCTTTTTTTATTTCTTTTTTGATATTGATCACTTATTTTACTAATCCGTTTTCTTATCTAATTTTTAACTTGACATTTTATGATTTTATGTTAGTTTATTACTCAATAAAAAAATGTATGTTTAATTATTTTCAGTCTGATAACGGTTGAACCACAATTAGATCAATAAATTAAGAGCTACTACTTTCACCAATTTAATAATGGATCCAATTTTTAAAGCATTAATTATTAGGCTTGGTGTGGTTCGTGCACAAGTATAAAATGATTTTAAATATGACGCAACTAAAATTATATTAGAGATTAATTTAATTTCTCTGTATATTTAAAACTTGTTTATATATTAATACTAGACCAAAATTAAATAGGATTAATATTTTTCTTGTAAGGTTAAGATAATTTTATTTTCTGTACTTACATGAAAGTCGATTTAATCCACTTTTTTTTTTCTCTCTCCTTATAAAGCCTCATATACTTTCATGTGACTGCAAGTTAAACATTAAACCCAAATTAAATTGGATAATATTTATACTTTAGATATAATTTTCTAAAAATTGACCATTTCAGTGTTTTAAAATGAAATGCTAGATGTGTGGAGACTCGCTAGGAGCTTCCCTGTCGAGCTATGTTTTTTTTTTCTTTGACTACTTCAATCTATAAAAAAAAAAAAGATTATTCATGAAAAGTATGGAGGGATTAAACTCTGAAAATTATTCTTTATTCATTAAACCCAAATTGATTTTCTGAAAAGTGTCTCTCCTAACTATTCATTAATTATTTTCACTTGTAATTTATAAGTTTTGTAATTAAATGAAAATTAATTCAAGTATGAGCCTAGAACGATCCTAACTTTTATGCTAGGCACTTTCATGCGTTAAAAGTGTGGGCTACAAAATTAGACAAAGTGGGAGGGGGCGAAGAATAAAAAGAGGACCACCGGAAAAAGACAAAGTAACAAGTAAACTATAAGCTATAACATCAATTATTTATTTATTTATTTTTGGTATAAAAACTTCAATTTTATTATTCTTTAAGAAAATAAACAATTATCTTATAATTTTTTTAATATGTTTTTACATCAATTATGATATTTTTTTTGGTATAATATTTTTTCACACATTCATTTAGAGATTAATTTACCCAACAAATTATATATTTTAAAATATTATATAATATTTTTTATATATCAAAAAATAATGTAGCTTTTAATAAATAATTTAGTTATATTTTCCAAAGTAATGATACAATGGCAACATGATACGAGGTATCCACGTCGTGAGACAAATTGAAAGGTCTTAGAAAAAACAATATAATGTAAAAAATAATTTTTTTATATCAATCTTAATTACTTCTTTGGGATGAGTAAGCTCCCTCATATATCTTCGCAAGCTTTGATTTTTTTGAATCGGCTATGAGACTAATTCCGAGAACAGATGAGCCACGGATTAGGATTTTATACTCCTCCCAAAGATAAAATTGATGGGATCGAATCGAGGTCCTTATATCACCTACTCAACTCCCATAAAATATACAAATAAGTACCCATCATCATTTATTTAAATTAAAATATCTTATAAAATTAATTAACTTTAATTCAAAAATAAGTACAATTTTACTATCTCTTTTTTATCCCAACCTGCTCATCGATTATCCGAATTAATCTGATTCGAACCATGTTGAACCCATATTGAAATTAGGGATGATAATTCGGATTGACACGACACAACATAACACGAGTACGAATATATTCAACACGAATTTGAAATCGGGTAAAAACCTTCGACATGAACACAATCCACTTATTTTGTGGGTTGACACGACACAATACGAATAATTCGTAAGCTCAAAGTGTGTCGCTTATTATGCGGGTTGATATGATACGATATGACACAAATAACTTATTAATCTCAAAATATGTTATTTATTATGTGGGTTGTCACGACACATAACGAATAACCTGTTTATGATACGACACTACTAACCTATAAGAATATTCTAGTAGATCAATTTCAGGTTCGCGGGTTGATACGCAATACATTAGAAATTATTTCGTGCCAATTTTTGCCAACACGAGCATAATATGAATTTGAAAACGGGCTGATCCATACCCGAATTTTTCATCTCGTGTCCATGTCATATCAGCGGGTTGTATTAAAAATTGTCACCCCTAATTAAAATGATTTTCTCAATATTATTTTACCGATTCACAACCCTCAAACAAATACATGTGATCAAGTGTGCTACTTCTGCTACCAAAGGGTCGGTGGGATTAGAAAGCGACTCATTACTATACCTCGATACATTGTCACAGTTCAACCACAAAGGTAACAATCAAATATCTGAAAAATAAAAACAATAAAAGGCCACGGGTAGAGATTGAACCTATAGTGTTCGTGATCTCTCACCTAAATTGGTGCCCATTACCATAAACGAAGGGACAACTAGTTCACAAGCTAGAAGCTTAATTAGAATATCTCTTTCAATTCAGAATATTCTTTCAATATCTTTCAAAATAGCTTTCGTGATCTCTCAGCAAAATTGGTGTCCATAAACATATAAAACGAAAGGGACAGCTTGTTCACAAGTTAGAAACTTAGAATATCTCTTTCAATAATATCATTCTCAGATATATTATGTGCACCACACTACTCCTAAACATGACATGCTAGTCTCAAGTAATAGTTAAATTTGGACAGAGACGTTGTCAAAAAATTTTCCCTTTTGAATCACAACTCTAAATAAACTCCGCTCTGCCTATGTATGTCTATCTAGTCAATGTAAATGAGGAGAGTTGCCCTCTAACGAATGGATTGCGAAAAAATAGCTATTTTTATGTTATTAATCCATTTATTTATTTTTATTTGGGTTAATCAGATGCTAATTAATTTGGGATAAAAATATTAGAATTTTAAATGATTTAGTCTTTGGCTTATGCTGAAAATTGAATTTGTTGTAGGAATGCTTTAGAATCTTTAAGGATTGGAGCCACGGAGTTATAGTTAAATGCAAGAGTGATTTTTTTTATTTGATACATACAAATCAGTATCCAAAATTCTAATGGATCTGACTAATTCGATTTTGAGTTCCAACTCTCCCGCTTCTTCAAAAATTGCAACTCTTAGAATTTGAATATGAGCAAGTCAAAGTGAGTTGCGTCGAAAAATGATGCTTTAATAAATAAGAAATTGTATTTTTTTTTTTGCTCACGAATCTCTACGAAAGAAATCAGTGGTAGAAATTCCATGCCTGCAAGTTTCCACAGCTTTTGCCAGCTCAGTGCCCTATTTCATACTACAAAGGAATGAAATTTATTTGGGTCAAAACCAAAACTGATTGGAAGAGGAGGAAGTAACCATACCCGCATACATTGGTGTCAGCCAGTTATCCAAATGTAGGAGGAAGTAACCATACCCACATACATTGGTGTCAACCAGTTATCCAAATGTAATATACAATGGAATTGTTAACAATTCATATCTTGTCCTTTACCCTATTGTCATAAACAGGGGGAAAGAGAAGAGTGTGGGGGTACAAAATTAAACTGAATCTACATGGACCAACATAAAATTTTCTGTGTAATATATCAAGCAATGGAGCTCCAAGAACCAACTTAAGGTGACAAAATTCCTTCTATCTATTTTTAACTCATTTGGAAAACAGAGTACAAACATGAATAAGAGAAAATAAGCACTTGACCCTTGAACCATCTGAGAAATGCATTCGAATCCCAAATCAAAACAAAAGTGCTAAGTTCTAATACCATATCATCGTAACACAAAATGATTTGTTGGAAATCAATACACACACAAACACGAGTCGAAAATAGAAAAGAGGAAAAGGAAGATAGAATATTCACATGCCAATTTCTCATGTTTCACCCCTGTCCAGTTTGTCTATACTATATTCATTTTATCGCCACTCGTTACAAGTTACTCGTCTTACAAAGAAAATATAAATATAATGATTATAAAGCTCTAAGAGCAACTATTCATGATCCAAATTTAAATATCAGAGGCTCATAACTATTATGAATCTCTACAAAACCCAATCAGAGACCCATAACAGTACATGAGCTTTGTACAACACCTTAGTTACCTTTTTACTAATCCCGATAACCAACATGATTTTCTATCTCTAAACCTAAACCATAATTTCAAAATTTGAAACCTTGTAGTTACGTAAAAGCTTGAGGAAATTAAAAATCAATTTCAAAAAGGGGATATCCCAATAGAAGCTTTTTCGTTACAATGTTGAAACAGAAGAAACAGTGCTACATGTTGAGGATTCTCGCTGAGAAGAACTTCTCCAAAACCCAGTGCTGTTAAACCTATCCCTCATCTCCTTCTCAAGCTCCATAACTTCCTTGTCCTCTTTCTCAGACTTCACACATGCCACGTCATCATCGCCATTTTTGCACGAGGACTGAACCACCTGAACGCCGATGTGGTCGGAGCAGCCGCACGTGCATCTCCGTCGCGGAGGAAACAGCCCTTCCCTTTTGTTCTGAATTTTCCGGCGCCGCTTATTCTTCAGCGCTTTCAGGCACAGGCTCGCCGGAACCTTGTAAATTGCCAGGTACATGATGTTGGCAAGCCCACAGGGACAACAGCAGCACACGGCGGCGGTTCCCCCCACCACCTCCCCCATCCGCGTCCCGGCCTTCCCGGAACCACCGTGGCTCTGCTGCAGAAGCGGTTGCCTCCGGTGAGACGACGCCGGCCGGAGGAGTACTTTCTTCGACATGGTTGTCCAACCTCGTACTACCCCCTTTTTTTTGTCCTTTGTCGATAGATTTGTAAAGTACGATGTAAAGGAAAAATAATATTATATTATATTTTATATATATAAAAAAATATATTACACACAAAATAGAATGGGATTTTGAAAATCTGTTTCTCTCTTCTCTGCCAAAATCAATACCCACAAACACAACCTTGTTGAATGCAATGTCCTTGTAGAATAAATTGAAGAATTTGAACTAAAAATATTGGTTCAAGAACCTTGAAGAAAAAAATGACGGCTAGAAAAGCTGCTCTTATATGAATTTGATAGTGCTTGAGCTGGATTAACTGAATTTTCGAGAATTATGAGAATCTGAGTATGGATGCTTAATTCTTGAAAAAAGAAGGAGGGAACCCAAGATGGTATATGAGGATTGCAAGAGAAAACAATATGGAAATGATGCTAAGAGTTATATAGCAAAAGACCAAACCCCTTTTTGAAGTTTCGCTTTGTCTTTTGATATATGGCAAATTATTGCACAAAAGATGATGATAAAGTGAAGCCCTCTCCTTGATGATCCTTAACTGCTTAGGCTTTTGGGGATTTGACAATGGAAGAGAGAGTGCTGACTACGGTGTTTATGCGATTGATATGAAAGAGAGAAGGTTTAAATTTTCAAGAGTTGATGTTTATTTTGGGTTTGAGGTGAGTGGAATTTGGGCATGGAATGACGTTGGTGTGACTTAAATAGGTATGAATCTACAATTAGAAACGCTTGAAGCCAAAATAAATACGCAATGGCAGCTCGAAAGCTTCTGTTATGCTTTTTTAGATTATATATAGTATACAACTGACTCGGACACACAAAGAGAGGGTGACAGATGTAGAGACTGAGGAGGTGGCAGAGGATGCATTATTGGATTTTGGCATTTATTTTTTACATATTGTTGAGATATATAGTCCCACATTGGTTGTACGTGCAACTAATGTGAAGTTTATAAGGTCTTGGGCACTCCCACCCTTCGAGCTAGCTTTTGGGGTGGTGTATCCCAAGGTTCTTTACACATATTGACACAACTTTGCCATTCTTATAAGGATTAATATTTTCTCATGTTACATAAAAAAAATTAATTTCTTACACACAAAAAATAAAAGAGAGAAAAAAAAAAAAATGAACTCCATTTTTAATTTGTGTGTAGAAAAAAATATTTTCTTATATAATATGAGAAAATATTAATCCTTAAAAGAATGGCAAAGTTGTGTTAATCAAGTTCTTTTCCAATGTTTGATAAGAAAATCACTAATTAAGTTAGATAACCTTTTAATTGATCACCTGATTGATGATACCAATATTAATGGACTTAATTTTATGAATTTAGCCTCATCTAATTGCAACTGGATTAATGATAGGATATAAATTCGGTCAAATAAAAAATAGTTATAAAGAAACAATTAAATAAAATCAACTCTCAATGTAACCGGGCAAAAAAAAAAAAATCAACTCGAGTTTTAAGTTTGATATCTTCAAATTGTGTAATCACTTTACACGCGTGTGGGTATAAACAATTACTCATCACGACAAATGTCATATATTAAGTGTCTACATCATATCATATCATATTCCGTGTATGGAGAAAAGACCAAATTCGAATTCCTCTTGGAATCAACTTCTTATAGATTCTTTATGCTAATGAAAAGTATTAGGCAATAGCAATTTCATAAATTTTGCATATGTTTAATGGATTGATGTTTTTTATATTATAGGAGATAATTTTATCTCTTATATACTCATAAAATATATAGATATTAAATGAAACCATGTGAAGAGAAGAGATAAAAAAAAATACGGACTTTACATACTTTTATATTTATATATATATATATATGTGTGTGTGTGTAAAATCATTTCTACATCCGCTTTACGTACAACAACGACAGATGTATGGTTATGATTCTCCACATTTAATGCTTTCATCTTTTGTATGGTTATGATTTCCCGCCTTTAATGTTTTCACGTACATATATTACAAGTATTTGATTGCTGCACGTGCAGCAGCTGCAGAAATGTAAACCCCATATATATATATATGAGATAAAATTATCTCTTACAACATAAATAATATTAATTTTTATTTTTGAAGGTCGAGGAATGTAAATATAAATGATAAGTCTCTTAAAATCATTTTAGGTAAATGTACACCTAGGATTACACTTTATTTATTTATTTTTTTTTTATTTTTCTTATCCAAAACTTAACTAAAAAACCAAACTAGAATACACTAAAAAATAGTTGGAAGTAGGACAACAAGAGATAAAAATTAACAAAATAATGCAATTGAAAATTTATTTATCACTTTGGGATACTTTTTACAATGTCATAACAATCTTTTTTTCTGATATATATTTTCTATTATTAATTTTTTAGGAGAGCTAGTCCCATTATGATATAAATGTTTCTGACTTGAATAATGTTTTGTCCTTGGGACAGAGATGTCCAGCCCAATACGCTGGTATGTTTCTCTTGGATCTAGTGCCCTCTCCAAGGTATCTATGAAGGAGATACCCTTGAGTCAAGCAGACCATTGTGCACAAAATACTATAACGGCGTTAGCCAATGGGGTGTTTGTGTGCGCACAGTGACAACATAACAGTAAGAGAGAGAGCGTAACGTACCTTTAGGGTTTACCTTGTATTTATAGAGGTTACCTGTGGGTAGCGTGGATGGGCTTTTGGTGCCTCATATTAGGGCCCAGACCTGCTTGTTATGTTGTCGTATTAGGATTAGTATCCTTGACGGATATCTATCCATGATTATTACTGATTCAGATCTTGGATTGCCCCTTGTTGGGCCTATCACTTAATGAGCCCCTTATATGGGTCCATAACAGTTGCCCCTCAGCCAGGCTACCTGGGTATCCGGGTTGCCGGGGTGAATTTATTTGTGCGTCTCTTCAGGTTTTTTGTTAGGCTGAGTGTGTTTGCGTTTTTGCAAACTTTCAAACTTTTTGCATGCTCCTCATATTCTGAAGTTTCTTCCATCTGGGGTGTCTCCTGCCCCTTATGTCGACGGTGAGCATCAACCCGGTGAGATATTTCTCGTATCCCTTTTTTCTGGTTTAGGGCTTGAGCAGTTGGGGTCCAACTGACGAGTTTCCCCTTACACGTCGGCCCTTATGCTTATTCCAAGTTTGTGGTTTATCTCGAGGTCAATTTTTCCTCATCCCTTATATGAGCAGGTTGAGCGTCAACCCTTTCTATACTCCTACGCCGAGTTAGGGATGTGCTTAAGTTGTTGGGATCCAACTGACGAGTTGCCCTCAAGCATTATACCTTAACTGGAGTATTAATTTTTTCTTTTGTTTACTTAGACGACGAGTTTTGCATGAACCCGACAAGATACTTTACATTGTAGTCGGGTAACGCATGTGCTTGAGTAGTTGTTCTCCAACTGGCGAGTTGCCCCCAAGCATCAGGTGTTTAACCCAGTTGATAGTTTCATATGTATGTACCCTGTCTTATATATTGGCTTATGAGTGGTACTCATTTCGTTCTGCCACGTGCTACAGCCCGCGTGCTTTAGCGTGCCGCAATCGTTCTATGCCATTTTCGCGTTTTGTGCGCATTTATTGCAGCATCGTTTCAGTTGTCTAATCATTGCTTTTTGAAGTGAAATGGCACTAACGACCCTAACCCTTGCCATTTCTGCGTGTTGTGGTTACCGCCCATGATGATTGCAGTTACCTCCCATGATTGTTGCAGTTATTATTTTCAAGTGCAAAGACCATAGTAGCCCTGAACTTTGCCATTCGCAACCCCCAATGGTCACTTGTCATGCCTATATAAGCCTCCGTCTCGCATTACATGCTTTTGTTTTCCTTCTGAGTATTATGCCGAAACTGCGTTTCCTAGAATGTCAGAGTCTCAAACGCATTTCTCCACTTCCTTGCTAGTTCATATCTTTCATCTTCTTATTTACAGGTATTTCATTCATCCTTTGCTTTTGTTGTTTCTGTTTTGAGATGCCTGCATTTGATCAATTTTCCTTTGACATGTTTTTCATTTTTGAATTCTTTTCCTGTTGCATGCCATTGCATTGATTTTTGTTTTTTCATTACACCCACACTCTTTCTGGGGGTTGCGTATTGCTTCCCTTCTGGTGTTTTGGTGTTCGCCCCCTGCCTTCGTCATCCTTCTTTTTTATTTTAAATCTAAGTGTCGTTTAGTTTTTCAACCAAATGAGGGGGAAGAACCCTCCTTCTTCAGCTTTGTGTTGTAAGGGGGAGAAAGAGGAGGATTCTGACTTTTTTAGAAAGATTCCTCCTGGTGCCCGCTTCTGGCTTTGGGGGATTCCAAGGACCGAAGAAGAGGAACGGGAAGCCATGCTTCGCACTTGCCGTGGTGGTAGATCTAGGAGAAGGTCCGGGATGTCCAATAGGGAGTTAGGGCACCACCGAGGTAGAGGTTCGTCCAACCGGGTTAAGGGTCGTCTTACCTCAAATAGACGTGTTTTGCACCCGTTTACCAACCCGGGATTGAGCCCTTTAGCCAGCTTAATATGCCTCCACGTTCCCTTTCCACCATCCGGATTTTCTGTCATTCTTCCCATGTCCCAAAGAGTGTCCTTTGTTACTCATGTGTCTACTTGAGTTCTAATCTTGTCGAGCAAGGAAGCGACTCTTTGGCCGAGTCTACCTTGGCTAGTTGCTGACATGGAGATATACTGGAATCTACTTCCGCATCTGGTGAAGTAGGTGATCCCATTATGATCTCCGACTTGTCGACTTCATCATCTTCTAGTGACTCGTCTGATAATATTTTTGATCCAGGTATGCCCATTCTCGTCTTCTGATCGAGTTCTTTTCTTTGTTTTAGATTTTATGGCATCTTCTCCTCCAGAGGTGGTAGAAGAGTCAAGTTCCACCGAATCATACCCCCTACGTCTCTCCACCTCTTTAATATCCCAGTTTCCCTGGGTGACTTATGAGGTTTTAAATACTACTTCCGAGATGGGTCCGGACGACGTGGCGGGTCTCCCTGTTGGGAAGTTAGAGAACTACGATATAGTTCCCTCACGAGAGGACGAACCGGTTTGCTCTAGTGGGAGCTCAGGAGAGCCCCCTTTCTTTTTCTTTTACCAAGATGTCGTAACTCAACTTGGCATCCGATTTCCTTTGACAGAGTTTCAGATTGATCTCTTGAACCACCTTCAGATAGCCCCTACCCAGCTTCATCCCAATGGTTGGGGTTTCATTAAAGCTTTTGAGCGTTTTTACGCATATCTTACTCTTCCAGCTTCTGTTTGTGTTTTCTTTTTCTTTTTTCAAGTGCTCACTCCTCGAACCGGTCGTGAACCGACGGAGCGAAAAGGTTGGGTTACCATTCGAGGTATCCCTGGTCGCAAGCTTTTTCGAGTTTACACTGATTCTTTCAAGAACTGTAAAGACAAGTTCTTTAAAGTTTTTGCACATCCCGACAAGAGCGTATGGTTTGCTGATAACTGTAATGTCGAGGATGTGGAGGGAAAATTTCCCTTGCACTGGTCATTTGACCATTATCAACTTTCCCGTTTGAGATACCGCATCAAAGAGTCCCAGTTGAGCCCTTCTGATATTGACAGTGCCATTGTCATTGGTACATATCTTCAATTGTATAAATATGCTAGTGTCGCATCCCTTCTTTTCAAGTCCCAGGAGGATCTTGATGCTGAACTAAGTATGGATCATTTTCCCCAAACCCATACACACATATCTGTTATAGTGCATTTGGTTATTATATCTTACTGTTTCGTCTTTGCAGTACCCGACATGGAGAATCAACAAAATGAGCCCCCCAGCTAATTGTTGGTTTTGAACCAGTCCAAGGCTACCTCCGCTGGGTTGCCGAAGAAAAGGAAAGCTGCTGAGATTTCGAAGGATGACCCCGGCAAATCCAAAGGCACGTCTGTTGTTAAAGGTACTGCTACTACGGGCAGCACCAAAGTTAAGGTAGGCGCTGGTGATGCCGGTGCTTCTGCTGTGGCCCAGCAAGCAATGAAAGCTCATCCTCCTCCACCACCCGAGCTTGTGAAACATGTGGTGTGGCAGGGCAGAATGAACAGCGTTCTCCGAGATGCGATTTGCGCTCCTGAGCCCTTCTATAACTCCTCTGCTCTTACCGCTGCCCAGATTAGGGAGGTTGAGGAGTTAGAACTCTGCTGTATGAAAATGGTCGGGTTGGTGAGGCCTTTGCTGACTCTTAAGCAAAAGTATCTTTGCTCTTTGAATGAGTCATCTGCATCCCGGGAGGAGAGAGCCAAGACATATGCCGAATTGCTAAAGGTGAAGGAGGATTTATCCTCTCTGAAGGAGAATTATGACCAAATTGCTGCCGAGCTGGTAACATCCAAGGCAAATCTTGAAAAGTTTCAGGACGAGCAAGCTGACGAAGCCGTGAGGATGAAGGACTTCCGGATTACGTATGAGAGAATGGAAGAGAGTTTGAAGGAAGCTGAGTCAAACGCCCAACTTTACCGGGGTGAACTTGAGAAGTCGGTCACTGGGTCCTTCTATAATGCCCTTAACAGACTCCAAGTGCTTAATCTGAATGTGCCTCTGAATATAATTGATTTAAATGCTCGGGCATATGTCAGCAACTGTCAAATCATTCCACCTTTTGCTGCTTCTCCTACTGATGACTCGGTTACTCAATCCGAGAAAAAAGGTGCTGCCGTTGAGGTTGGTGAAGAGGCAACCAACCAATCTGCTAAGGATATCGCGGCGTTTGAAGAGCCTCCTGCTGGCAAAACTCAATGAAGGTCCGGGATGCCGGTTACCTTTGTAATTTCTAGTTCTTTGTGGGGCTTTTGAAGACCCTTTTTGATTTGTAATGAATATTGTCGGTTTTAATCCGGTTTAAATTTGCTCTTTGAGCCTATCTCATATTCCGCCTTATGATTTGGCGTCTTGCATTTCTTATTTTCTGAATTTACCATAGATGCATTTATCTAGGTATTTGATTTTCTTAATTCGGCGTGTTTACTATCTAAGTTTATAACTTAGGCAATTTTCACGCATTTGAAAATCTGTCCGAGTTGCCCCATCCTGATTGAGTTGCAACTTGGGTTGATTTTACTTTTTTAACCCGTGCTTTTCTGAGTTATGCGTTAAGCTTTATCCGAGTTTTACCCCATATTCATTGGTGATTTTTTCAACTCAGATAAATTTACTAAACCCGTGCATTTTACGAGTATTATATTCTTGACCTGGCCGAGGTCAAAGCATTGTACGGATTTCGATTTCTGTCATTCTCCATGACACATGTTTGTTTTGACTTAACCGTTTTGGTAAGCCTGTATGAATATTGGATCTCGTCTTTACTGACTTAACCATTTGCTATAATTTGAATTTTGTAATTCAACTTTATCTAAGATAAAGACAACACTGTCACCTGTCCCTTTTGGTTCTTAGACCGAAATAAGGGTCATTTTGACCTGATCAGAGTCACTATGACAGATAGTGCTTATACCTCGGATTTCGTATTGATGCATCAAAAATAGACAAGGACAAATCTTTTAAAAAGAAAAATTCTTCATTTATTGATATCAAATTGTTTGCTACATGAATATGCCGGCATATTCGGCTTTAGTCAGATCCCTAATAGAGGAAAAAACTTCATCTAGGAAACTTTAAATAAATTGAAATATTGAAATATTTAGAAGGCGGATTCCAGATTTAGCTGTAATATATTTTCAGCTTATCCGCATTCCAGGTCCGCTTAATTCTTTGCCTTCCACTGTTTCTAGGATATAGGCTCCTTTTCCGAGCTTTTCTCTAACTTGGTATGGTTCTTCCCAGTTTGCAGCTAACTTTCCATCTATGGCATTTTTATTTCCAATATCCACTCTCCTGGGTACCAAATCATCTTTCTCAAAGATTCTTGGCCTCACTTTTTTGTTATATCTGACTGTCATCTGCCACTTGGCCATCATATCCCGGCAGTGAGCTGCAACCCGAGCTTCGTCAGCAAGGTCTAACTCGGCTGTGAGTAGCTTGTTGTTCTGCTGCTCGCCTTGCTCATTACTATTCATCTTCTTCCAAGAAGTTCTCTGATTTCCACCGGGATCATGGCTTCGCAGCCATATGTCAGTCGAAAAGGGATTTTCCCTGTTGCAATTTGGGTACTCGTTCTGTATCCCTAAAAGACGAAGTATAGCTGCTGAACCCAGCTTTCTTCGGCATCAAACATTCATTTTTTGAGACCGTCCACAATTACCTTGTTTGCTGCTTCAACTTGTCCATTCGACTGTGGTTGCTCCACATATGCAAAGCAATGTTTGACTTGCAAGTCTTTCATCAACTGTTGGAACCTTTTATCAGCAAACTGCATTCCATTATCAGTCACCACCTCAGCCGGTATTCCAAACCTGGAGACAATATTCCGTTCAAAAAACCTTTGTACTCTAGCCGAGGTGATGATGGTGACTGGTTCTGCTTCTATCCATTTTGTGAAGTAATCCACAGCTACAATCAATCAATTTAATTGTCCTTCAGCATCTTTGAAGGGTCCAACAGATCCATTCCCCATTTGAAAAAGGGCCATGGAGCCGAGATATATTTCAGTTCTTCAGGTGGTGAAAGAATTAGTTTGGCATGCTTCTGGAAGCTGTCACATCTTTTCACATGTTCTTTAGCGTCTGCCTCCATAGTCGACCAATAATAACCAGCTCGGAGGGCCGTTCTAGCCAAAGCTTTGCCTCCCATGTGATGTCCATTGATTCCTTCATGTATCTCGGACAGAACATATTCTGCTTCTTCCGAGTTTAAGCATTTTAGCATAGGGACATGCAACCTCTTTCTAAACAGCTGATCATTCATAATTGTGTATTGTGCTGCATCTCTGACCAGCTTCTTGGATTCCAGCCGATCCTCTGGCAATATTCCTTTCTCAAGGTATGGCACCATGGGTTGTCTCCAGTCATTTGTCGAGGTGATGATCATCATGCAACTCGGCATAGTTATGCTTTGTTGTACCACGGTTCTGTGATTACCTGGATTTTTGGTACTTGCCAATTTAGACAAGATATCAGCTCGGCAATTTTCCCCTCGAGGAATATGAGTAACTTGCACTTCATCAAAATCGGCCATCATCTCCTGAACCTTGCTTAGGTATTTCATCAGGATAAGACCTTTGGCCTGATATTTTCCTTCTATCTGTGAAGTTGCTAATTGTGAGTCACTGAAGACTTTTACCTTCTTAGCTCCATGTTCTTTAGCCTGCATCAATCTGGCTATCAAAGCTTCATACTCTGCTTGATTGTTCGAAGTTGGGAATCCCAAATTCAAGGAGTGTTCTATTGTCACCCCTTCTGGACTTTCAAGTATGATTTCAGCTCCACTTCCTTTATCGTTGGAGGATCCATCTACGTAGACCTTCCATGCATCCCTAGATTTGCTATATTCTGGGTTCACCGGTGTTAGCTCCATTATAAAGTCAGCCAGAGCTTGTGACTCGATGGCCTTCCGAATTTCATATGTTATGTCATACTCACTGAGCTCAATTGCCCAGTTAGTCATTCGTCCTACAAGGTCTGGCTTGTGTAACACCTGTCGTATAGGTTGATTAGTCAGAACTATAATTTGATGTCCCTGGAAATATAGCCGCAATCTTCTAGCCGTGATCAGCAAAGCAAATGCCACCTTTTCCAGCTTTTGATATCTGACCTCTGCACCTTGCAAGGCTCTGCTGATGAAATAAATCAGCTCTTGGCCTTTATCAGTTTCCTTGATCAGGACAACATTTATTGCCTCTTCCCCCACAGCCAGATACAGGATCAGAGTATCTCCTGGTTCTGGCTTTGAGAGTACTGGTGGGGTTGCTAAACATTTCTTAACTTTTTCAAATGCGGCTTGACATTCTGGATTCCATCCTTCCCTTACTTCCTTTTTTAACAATTTAAAGAAGGGGAGGGCATTTTGAGCAGATTTTGGCAAGAAACGGGTTAATGCAGCTAATCTACCAGTTAACTGCTGAACCTCCTTTTTATTCTGGGGTACCTTCATATCAAGCATTGCTTTGCACTTGTCTGGGTTTGCTTCAATTCCTCTATGGGTTAACATGAAACCCAAAATTTTTCCAGCTGGAACTCCAAACGCACATTTTACCGAGTTTAAACGGATGCGATATTCCCTGAGTTTCTGAAAAGTTTGCTCAAGATCCTGGACATGATTTGTCTTATTAAATGACCTTACGATCATATCATCGATGTATACTTCTATATTTTTGCCCAGCTGATCTTCAAACACCTTATTTGTAACATCCCGTATATATCCGGTAGTGTTATCATTACATCGTATTAAGCTACGCTTAATTAAAAATGAAGAATATTCTTTTTCCTTTCAATTATGACGTCATTATCAATTACCAACTTGATTACTTAGTCAATTTCATAAAATATCGCCTGAATATAAATTGCAATAAAACATCTACTGAAATACCTCAATATATAAATGAAGTGTGTATCTAAATCACGACATTACATCTCGTAATCTGGACAATATCCTGATACATTATTACTACTCCCAAAAGACTCAAGACAAAACAATACTATGTGTCATGGACAATCCCCGTGCTCACCAAATAAACAGCGTAAACAACAAGTCTTAACATAAAACTCCATAAACATGAACTGAAGGTATAAGCATATAAGCAGCATGCAAATCCAGCATCCAACATGCCAGCATAAATAACAGCAAATCTAACTCAGCTCCGGCCTCCTGCCGCCTGAGGTCTCAACATTACCTGATCCTGAAATAAGCATTCCCCAAACGTAGGGTGAGATCTCTAAACAAGAAATCTCAGTAAGACAAGGGGTCCTCAAGGATCTTCCACCCCAAGCTCACTTACATATGCAATATAAGTTCTAAAAGCATTTATATCAGTATAAGTTCCAAAACTATGCAGTGCAACAGATATCTATGGCATGTGCGTTATCACTATTCTACTGGCCAGAGAAATGTAGGAATACGTCTATACCTACATGTAGTACAAGGAACACCGCTTGCACCTCACCCACAGCCTCCTCATATTGTATGTTCTACATACTCAGGCTTACTGTATAGGTGGAACACCTCCATGCATATCAACAAGGCACTAACATATAACAGCTCAACAGCATTTCCAAAACATCAAAAGCATGTAACACAACATGCATAAAACCATATCCCCATGGGATATGGTGGAATCACAACATGGCTAAACCGAGGACACGAAAGCTTACCTTGCAAGCTCACTATCTAATGCCAAGAGTCCTCACAGCTCAAGCCCAACACACAACAGATCACAATCCGATTTAGGACCAGCAAATGTATCAATATACATAACTCAAAAGCATTAACATAAAGACTATGTTCTCCTTTAACGATTTATGTCTTAAGGCTTCCAACAAAGCCACAAGCCCTTAATCACATGATTCTGACTTAGTCCATTAAATACAGAAGTTCCACTTCATCAATCTAAGGTCCACAAACCCCCAATAGCCTATTGTCCTCAGAGCACAGCTACTGTTCTACGAAATCCCAGAATATCTGGATATTCCTCGGGTGCATATCCGGATATGCAATATCCGGATATCTCACTGTCCATATCCGGATATGCAATATCCGGATATACAGATTCCCATATCCGGATATCCAATATCCGGATATCCAAATCCCATATCCAGATATCACATATCCAGATATTTCTCGGGCAGATATCCGGATATTTCACGACAGAATGCAGAAACTGCATTTCGTGAATATATCTTTCCAAGGTTGGGTTTTTACCGATTTTAAACACATAAACATGCATTTCTAGGTGTGTTTGACATTACCCAACGTTAAGTTATCACCTTTTAGCCTTAACATGCATCAAGGTTCCATTTTTAAGCAAGAAAACTCATGATCAAAGGGGGTACAACATACCAAGGCTCAAAACTCAGAACCAAGAGGCCCTTAGAGCTCACCAACAGTCCCTCAACCTCTGACTAGGACAGAACACGAAAATGCTAGCACAAGATGGTTCCTTTCTTCACAAAGGTAGCTTCTTGAAGCTTCACAAACCAATAAGAAGGTGGCTCTCAACCCACACCCCAACTCAGCACACTCCCTGACCAGAAACAGTGACTAAAACCCCAAGCAAAGCACCCTCACACCCTCACAAAGATGATTCCCAAGTGTTTACAAGAAGAAAAGAGAAGGATCAATGCCAAAGGTCCCAACTTGGCTCAAGAGAAGGTGAAGGAGACCAATGGAACAATGCTCAAGCAGCTAGTCAATCTCTCTCACGAAGGAAAATCTGGTATCTAGGGCAATGTGCCCTTAGCAAGTGTATAAATAGTCAACTCACACTTAAACACGCAGTATAAGCTTTAATTGCTACGCTTAGCATTTTAATCCCAAACTTTGGATTCTTAACATACTCAATTTTACAAGAATTGTCATATTTTTATTATATTTTTCTGAGCACATTTCCGGTACACGCTTTTCATAGCCAGTACCAGTTTCTGGCACCAGTTCTCATTATTTGGACTTGAAACTCGTTTTCCAAGTCCTACATAACATTCTAGTAATTATCATGCACTTACTTAATTTTTCTGGGATACTTTTTGGTACGCATTTATACCGACTAGCAGAACCGGTATCTGCACTTTTCTTCCGAAAAGCGACTATCAGCATTCTTAATCACTTATCATAATTATTAGAGCCTCATAATAATTGTTAGGGTCAATTTTGGAATTATTTCCTAATTTTGCATAATTAATTAATTAAAATTCCTTAATTAACGATGCGGGTTCTGACATTCACCCCACCTTTTTAGGATTTTGACATCAAAATCAGAAACATACCTGGTCGAAACTCGGGGTACTGCCAGAGAAGCTCGTCCTCACGCTCCCAAGTACTCTCCTCAGGAGTTCTTCCAGTCCATTGCACCTTGACTATCGGAATTGCTCCTCAGCTGCTTCTCGCCGCGATCGAGAATTCTCTGATCAGTTCGACGGGAGTTTTCAGGTTCTCCCGAACCTCCACATCATCAGGCTACACCACGTGCGACGGATCTGCTACGTACTTTCGAAGCTGAGACACGTGAAACACGTCGTGGATGTTAGCCAAGTTCGGAGGCAAGGCAAGCCGGTAGGCAACAGGTCCTACTCTACCAAGGATCTGGTATGGCCCAATATATCGCGGGCTCAGCTTCCTCACTCCGAGTTCCCGACCAACATCGATGACATGTGATAGTCTCACAAACACGTGCTCACCCTCACTGAACTCCAGCGGACGATACTTGACATCATAGCAGCTCTTCTGGCGATTCTGCGCCTGCTTCAACTTTTCACGGATCATCTGGATCTGCAAGGTGGTATCTTGGACAAAGTCCAAGCCAAAAAGCTCCTTGTCCCCTCAGACCAACAAGTAGGAGTCCGACACCTCCTACCATACAGTTCTTCGTAGGGCGCCATGCCCAGGCTAGCATGAAAGTTGTTGTTGTAAGAAAATTCAACCAACGGAAGGTACCTATCCCATTCCGAGCCCTGCTCCAACGTGCAAGCTCGCAACATGTCCTCCAAGGTCTGGATGGTCCTCTCAGTCTGTCCATCAGTCTGAGGGTGATAGGCGGTACTCAATCTCAACTGCGTACCAAAAGCCTCCTGCAGCGCCTCCCAGAACCGAGATGTGAACTTTGGGTCCCTATCACTGATGATACTCTCGGGCACCCCGTGAAGCCTCACGATCTCGCAAACATAAAGCTTGGCCAACTGCTCTGTAGTGAAGCTCACCTTCACTGGAAGAAAATGGGCAGACTTCGTCAGTCTGTCCACAATGACCCAAATAGAGTCACAACTCGCCTGAGTCTTCGGCAATCCCACCACGAAGTCCATGGAAATACCTTCCCACTTCCACTGTGGTACTTCAAGAGGTTGAAGTTCACCAGATGGTCTCTGATGTTCAATCTTCACCTTCTGGCAAACTAAACACTTGGACACAAAGACAGCAACATCTTTCTTCATGCCCGACCACTAGAAGTTCTTCTTCAGGTCTTGATACATCTTAGTAGCACCAGGGTGGATAGAAAACTGACCCTTATGGCCCTCTGCCATAACCTCTTCGGTCAACGGACCTCGAGGAACCACGATCCTCTGCTGAAACAAAAGAAGTCCATCATCATTCCAAGACACACCGTCTTGGTTCTTCACATAATCCAGACACTCTCTCTGAACTTGTGCCTCTTTGATATTTTCTAACAGCTCGTTCACAATGTCTGCTGCTTCCATCTCAAGAAGTACACCCTCACGCGGAGCGGTCACTGCCAGGTTTCGGAACTTCTTAACCACATCAAAGTTACCAAGTAACAAACTGGATGAGCTACTGGATTTCTGACTCAAAGAATCAGCTACCACATTGGCCTTGCCAGGATGATACCTTAGCTCGAAGTCGTAGTCCTTTATGAACTCCATCCATCTCCTCTGCCTCATGTTCAACTCCTTCTGGTCGAACAGGTACTTCAAACTCTTGTGGTCACTGAACACCACAAACCTCAAACCAAAAAGATAATGCCTCCAAATCTTGAAAGCAAACACAATAGCAGCCAACTCCAAGTCATGAGTAGGGTAGTTCTCCTCATGAGGTTTCAACTGCCTCGAAGCATAGGCAATCACTTTGCCCAACTGCATCAACACACAACCTAGCCCCTTCCCGGAGGCGTCGGTGTAAAGCTCAATCTCAAGCGCAGGATCAGGAAGGACCAACACAGGTGCAGTAGTCAGTCTCTCCTTCAACTCCTGAAAACAGACCTCACACTCGTGAGTCTACACAAATGGAGTCTCTTTCCGAGTAAGGCGAGTCAATGGCAAAACCATGGTGGAGAATCCCTTGATGAACCTCCGATAGAAACCTGCCAAACCTAGAAAGCTCCTCACTTTCGTAACTGTCTTGGGTCTCTCCCAATCCAGTACGGCCTCGATCTTGTTCAGATCCACTGCAACTCCTTCAGCAGAAATAACATGCCCAAGGAACTTCACAGACTTGAGCCAAAATTCACATTTGGAAGGCTTCGCATACAGCTTCTTTTCCTTCAGCACTTGCAGAACAATCCTCAGATGCTCCACATGCTCCTCCTCATCTTGGAGTAAATCAAAATGTCGTCAATGAAGACAATCACAAATTGATCCAGGTACGAC